GAGCTGGATAAGCGGAGGAAAATGGATGGATGAATGGAAATAAATATAATCACATATTTTAGATTTTTTTTTTTTAATCTCTTCCATTGATACTGTCCATATTACCACAGTGTCCTTTCTCACTCTTCCCAGCTCACTGCCAAGGTGCTTCACACCTGTCACAGAGGACGTTTTTATTGCTCCGTCCACCTTGTGTCCTGTTATCATAATCTGTCTCAAACCGGAGACATGTTTCAGTTCAGACATGTGGTTGGAAACACGATACCCATCCATTAAGCTTGGTTTTAGTCCTGCTGTCATCACTGGAAGGGAGAACATGTAAAATTGATTTACAAAGATCTGTAAGGGTTTAGTTAACATAACACACTTGGAAAAAAAAATCCCTTGATGTTTTTCAGGGAACTGGAACTTAGTAGGTTTGTTCAACTTCTTTAACAAACTTTTACAGCAGTTTAAATTATGAACAGTACCACCATTACTGGGTTTTGGATATGATCTTTAACATCTTTGCTGTTTCAGGATGTGATGCATTATGAACAGCTAAAGGCCGGAGTTATACATCATGACCTACTGGTGGACAACCTTATCTATAAGGTAAGCTCCTTTACACTGTCACTGTTCATGTTTATGAAGCTGCATTGCTAGAGTATTACCGTGGGTTAAACACATGCTGAAAGCTTTGGTTGTCTGGTGAATTTTGGCACCTTGTTACCTTGACATTTGTCCTGTGTAACATGAACTGTAATACAAAGGTTGTTGCTGGACAGAGTTTTACCGTAGTGTACAGTATGTTCAAAACGTCATGCTCTGCACGTTACAATCTGTAACATTTAATGGACATGTTTCTTCATTATGGGACCAAATATGATTCTGAGCGCTGTGTCCACCAGGATGTGAAGCTCACTGCCAGTAATGACGACTACTACTTTGTGTTTGAAGATTTCCTCTACCAGGTGAGCTTTCTTATTTCTAAGTCGCCACAATGTGACGTCTCTTCAAACATTTCAGCGTTCTGACAAACTTCCTACTGTACACTTTCCTCTTGGTTAACTTTTTTAAGAGACCTGGGTGAATCCACGCTCACCCCCAATCAGAAACTGGATTCTTTCACTACCTAGTGAATTTACCATCAGTCAATATTGACAGGCGATACCAGAGCTTTGTTCTTGGTTCATTTGTGTTTTCATCTGTTAGCTGCTGAATAAACCATTTGCTGAGTCTCTGTGCATGTTTATCAGCTGAGCACCAAAGGCAAACAGAGCAGTGACTATCTGACAAGCTAATAATAACAGGTTGTGTTCTTGGCGTGACTGAATATGTAACTGCAGATAAAGAAGACTGTGATCATTTGGTAAATGTCCTGATTGAGAGAGAAAACTATTTCTGGGTCATTAAATACACATAGGAGTTTTTGAATAATGGCAGTATTCTGGGGGACTTTTGTTTTTATTCATGTGATTTTTCCTCCTTTTATTGGCATAAGGGGCTGTTATGCAAACTGCTCTCATCTTCAGTTCTTAAATACAACCAAAATTTAACCACATCGCCTCTGTCCTCTTCATTTCAGCAAATAAGAGCTCAATCATCAATCATGACTTCTTTGACTACCCCAGACATATAAATTTGTGTCGCTTCCATGTCACATAAAGACGTTTCCGGAATGATGGCATTCCTCTTTAGCTGCGGTTACACATTCAGCCACGCCAAGAGCACAACCTGTTATTCTTAGCCTGTCAGTTAGGCACTGGTCTGTTTGCCTTTGCTGCTCAGCTGATAAACACGTATATGCTCAGCAAATGGTTTTCAGCAGATGATTGATGGGTACATAGGGGTAACAAGAACAAAGCTCCGGTATCCATGTAAATATTAACTGATGGTAAATTCACTAGGCAGTAAAGGAATCCACTTTGTCGGGGGCAAGACTGGATTCACCCAGTTCTGTAGAAGTTACACAAGAAGAAAGTGTTTCTTCAGAACACTTGAGAAGAACAGTATCCCAGAAATGTCTGAAGTCACATTATGGCCACTTAGGATGTGCACGTTTATCAAAATAAATATCTTTTAGTGTAGGAAATGATGTGCTCCTACAAAACAGTTTGTAAAATGTCTGTCAGTGTCATCAGACTCTGTTAAGTAGATAAAACATATTCTGAATGGTGATGTCATGGCAAAGTAGCTTATTTGCATGCACTTTTTTATGATTTTTAAAGAAGAACAAAAAGTATTTAGCTCTGTCCTAACAGGATGCCCCACCACCAGCAAAAAGGTCTTTAAGGGCAGACAGGAAGCAGTCTAGACACATCCTATAGTCCTCATCTGCCACCATTTTCTGTATTCTTCTATTAATGAGGCTCTATGAATTGCTGCCTATTTCATTTTTGCCAAGCCAGATGATTTTCCCCCAGAGGTAATTCATCTTAAGTGGTTGGTGGAATTGAAATCTCTTCTCAAAAAGACACAGAAAGGGACTGTAATGGAAAGAGCTCCCATTTGGAGTCATCTTGTGAAAGATGTGGCCACCTGAGGCCCGGTCATTGCCTACTTCAGTACATCCTGAAATTCTGGCTGCTTTAATAGAATTTTTACCCAGTAGGAAGCAGGGCAAGAAAGAGCTGGTGGTGGCCAAAAAAAGAACTAACTACTGTATTAAATATTGTTAATACATTATAAATATTATAATCAGGGAAGAATAATTGTATTCTGTAATGTGCATGCCATGAAAGAGGAGGAAGCCCACATAGCTTAGATAAGACTTCTTTAGCTTTAAAGGTCCTTACAAGTTTTGGAGATCTGTAAAATTTTGATCCAATGACAGATATCTATTTATTTTATTAATCTAAGAAATGTGTGTGTTTGTATGTTTAATCGCAGGTGTTGCTGTGTTTTTCTCGGGACACCGCCGTCTTGGAGCACTTTAAATACAACAGTGCCACGCCTCCCAAATCATACATCCAGGGTGAGAGACACCACGTCATCACATGAACTCACAGGCGCGCCACCACAAGCAACGGCCTTATACAGTGTATCTGACACAATACCTGTACAGTGATTAGCAGCCCCGGACATGGTGTTGTAGGTCGTGGTTGTTGATGTCACTGTGTCTGTTTCACAGGGAAAACAGGAAATGAGGAGTGTGCTGTTGTTTATCCTCCCAATGGTGAGCCTGCATCCTCATCATATTATTGTCTATGTACTGATAGTCAGGGGAAGATCTCAGAGGACAAATGAAATGGCAGAAGACTTGGTCTGTGTGCAAACTATTTAAAAATAAAGTATGGCATCCCTGTAAAATCTTGTGTATGAACTACATTGACAGAAATCTCATTCAACCAGGTGTAATCCCTTTCCATGGGTTTTCAATGTATGGTGAGTACATATGGTGTTAATGTGGTATTTTTCCAGGAGGAGCACAAAATGAGCCAGATATAACAGCGTGTGCCTGTGTAGAGGTTTGTGAATGAATTATTTATTTTCGTCCCTCAGTGGCGCCTTTGTGTTTCTTGTACAATGAGCCATCCAAGCTCTACAGCGTATTCAGGGAAATGTACATCCGCCACTTCTTCAGATTACACTCCATCTCCTCCTCTCCTTCGGTAAGATCCCAGATTTTTATGCGTGACTGCCAAATGTTTTGGTTAAAATATTCAGCTTGTGTTCTCATCTGCTCATGTGCTCCTGCAGGGAATCGTGTCTTTGTGCCTGCAGTTTGAGCAGCTGCTTCAGACCCACCTGCCTCAGCTCTTCTACCACCTTCGGCAGATTGGCGCACAGCCGTGAGTAGCACGTACATCGACCTGTGTACCAACGCTGCTGAATGATGCGGTTAAAAGAGAAATTCGCCCACAGACATTTATTATATAGTCACTCAACAAGAAAACCTGCAGGCTTATTACAGTCTTAATGGCACTACATCAGGTCCTTACATATAGGTAATTCTTGTCTAACCAGTTATTACTGGAAAACTGACACTGTGAATATCTTGTTCTTGTGTGTACCCTGCACACAGATTTTATACTCACAGCTTTGTTGAACTGCTATAGTTTTCAGCTACTGCCATCTTGTGGTACATTACCAGAATCCTAATTAAATAAAAAAACAAAGTACAATAATGGAGCCTTTAGAGCCGTTATGATCAGTTGCTTGTCAAACAATTACATGGTAATAAGCCACATGTAATAGAAATTTTAAAAATGAGTTTGGGGAATGAGTTATAGAAATGATTTATTTGAATTCCCATAGCCAGGAGTGTTATGGAGTAATGGTTTTGCTTATTATCAGTATCAAGCTCTGGAAGTCCTCATGCAAACAGATGTGATCATTTTTTCCTCCAGGTTGCGTATTGCTTTTAAGTGGATGGTGCGAGCCTTTTCTGGGTACCTGTCCACTGACCAGCTGCTTCTTCTCTGGGACCGAATCCTGGGATATGACTCACTGGAGGTCATTGCAGGTAGGCATAGATGCATTCACACTCAACTACCAACTCTGAAGTAACAATCTAAATCCCCTTCCTTTCTTTTTTCCTGTTCTTTTCTTCCCCTCCTTCTTTCATCCTCCTCCTCTCTTTTCCTCCCACACTTCTTCACGTCATATCCTGCTCTCTCCTGTGCTCTCTGAATATCACCATCCAGTCCTAGCAGCTGCTGTGTTCGCCTTCCGTGCCGAAAACCTGATGGAAGTAACATCACTGGCCTCAGCTGAAGTATGGTCACCTCATATCAGTCTGCTGTGTGTGTGTGTGTGTGTGTGTGTGTGTGTTTGAAACTCTGATTCCCATCCCCTGTTCCCCCCAACATACTGCTGGAAGGCCGTAAATAGCAACTGATGACAAGCCAGTACCAGTAACCCAGTCTTCTGCATGTACATGTCTGAAAAAAAGGACACTTAAGAAACCTCACCCTCTTACTCTCCCTGTGTATGAGCCCGCCAACACTCCATATCCCTGCACCCTTTTGGCAACCACACAACTGTAACAACTGGGCCAGTGTGTCCTTTAGTAGCACCTGCTCTGTCACTTGTGTTGCATTGTTATGCATGCCTGCACCTGTGTATCACACCTGCCCCTCCCTCACTCTGGTCCTGCTATCATATGAAGGAAACCAAGTGTAAATGATATGATGACTTGCTTCACTCGCTCCTCATTTCATCAGACTACAATGTGATGCATGGGGTGACTGGCTGATCTGCTGCTCTAAGATGTTGGCCGGCACTGTTTGCTTGCTCATTTAGCACCTGCCCCAGCAGACAGCAGATATCATAACATAGTGCTCCTTATCTTATATTTAGAACGGCGGGCCCAAAGCTGAAATATTAAACCCTCTGCCTAAACATGATGGGGTCCCTAAATTTAATCTCCTACTGATCCCAAAAGGACAGGGTGGGGAGTGTTCAGCATGGATTGTTGCTTCCTAATGAACCTGCATCATCATTCTGCATGTCGTTCTGTGTGTGTGTGTGTGTGTGTGTGTGTGTGTGTGTGTGTGTTGTCTTTAAACATGTCTCTTGGAAAGGGTGAGGGTGTGCTTTGAAGCCCCTCTCATGGGCTTGGTGGTCTGAGATAAGTTTGCTGCAGACAGGAGGGCTGTGAATTTAAATGACAAATCTTATGTGTTTTGTTTGGTATTCACACTACAGGCTGTCCTCGCTGACCTTTCAACTCTGAAGGTCATGCCGCTCATCCAGATCTTTCTGTTTGCCACCGCCATCTGAGGAGCAACGAGACTGCAGTATGAGTCGTGGTATGTACATACCACTTAGAGGATATTGGGACAGCAAAACAAAGCTGTGTTGCAACGCCATAACCACACCAATATGACTAATTGTTTGTCTAGAGACAGCAGCCTATAGTAATGAAGGAACACCTACACAGGCATTACAGACTTTATCCTGCACTGGTCTGAGCAATAAGCCAAATCCTTCTTTAGCATGTATACACCATAAATAAATACAGAATACCCTGTAACATTACTATGAATAGATATTATACGGGATGTATGTAAGTGTAGCCTGCACACAAGCTAGGTTAAATTAACTTCCTGAAGGCATATGCTCTGCAGGAAACAGGATATGCACATCAGTGCTTGACTCCACTGAGAGGCTCATTAGGAGAGGAGCTGCATGAATCAGTAACTGTGTCACGACTTGGCTAATGAAGTGTTGCAGTTTATCCTGCTTTGTGGCTCCTGCTTGTTATAACATTATTAGGTAATGCTGTTACAGATGAATGAGGAGATTGTACGCACTTGTCTGTGAAATAGTCAACAGACACAAACTGAATTAAACAGTAACATAACTAATTTATGAAGGAATTGCATATTATGGCACTCTTAAGGGACATTTAGCACCTTCGATGCCAGTATTTATTTCACTATGTACATTTATGGTTTTTTATTTTAAATTATGCATTTAATTTCTGAATGTATTCACCTACTTTGTACTGTTCTACAAAACGGTGTATGTGGCTTTTGATTTAAATGCAATCAAATCATTTAACAGTATTCTCAAGTTGGTGCAGTTTTCTTTTATCCTACATATTTTAATAACACTTTAAATAAAATAGTTTTGTTGAATCACATCCTCTAGTTTATTCTGCAAACCTTAAAAGGCTGTGACATGAAATGCTTGACACTCAGTACATTGCTCTCTGATCTATCTGTAATTGAATATTTTTCTTGGTTTGTGTGGCGGGATAAATACTGTATATGGACAGGGTGTACTGTACTGTGGAAACTCACCATAGGCATTTCTAGATAAAGCACACAGGTAAGTGACAGGTAGCAGCACTGATGGACTTGACTGCCCGCTCGCCTCAGCCCTCCTACATGTAGCATCTGCTTTATTTCTCCCTTGTTGTTGGCTGCCTTCCTCCCTGCTGCCCCCTCTCTGGGCTCGTATCGAATTATGCTGTTCTTCTCTTTCGTCTCTCCCTTTCCTACATCTGCCACCTGTTTACTAGGACCCCCACAGCTCAGTCTTTTATCAGTCATGCAGCTCCTTTGGCCCACTGGAGTCAGTTTCTCCTGAGACGGCTGTTACCTGCTGTGTAGTTCAATCATACAGCGGTCCCACCTGGTGGAGGATGTGTTGCATTGCAGGGCAGCGTGCCCTTTTGTCCATCACCGCTCTGAGAAAGATTTCGCATTGAAAGCTGTGTCATGTACAGTGGGCTTTAACACTTGTTGTTGTTGGATGCTTTGGCTTCATGTTCACATTATTGGTGATATAAATGACTCAGCGGCGATGAGATTAGGTTTTCATACCATGAAACTATGGAGGTTTCCATCAAATGGAACAGTAAACTGACAGCTCAGCTCTTTGTAACACCTCCATCCTCATCCAGAGTGTTTGGATAGATTAGTTACTTACAGTTTGAGGTACAAATGTAAATGATTATCAAATATTTGTAATAGTGTTCTAAAAAATTTTTTTTAAATGGACCTGATAAAAGGGAGGACTATTTTAAAGACATGCTCTCTGTCTGACATCAGTGATCATTTGCAGAATTAAATGATATTAGAGCGACATAGGTTTCCTGCCAACACTGACATTCAGCCTCCACTACAGGCAGCAAAGAAATGTAAGAAATTGGGCCAGGCCGTTATATTGAGGGATCCTAGTCCACAACAGTGCAATGAAGCATATAAATGTAGCATAAAGCTATAATATTGGTTAAAGTTGCATTAACCAAGATGTTATACATTGTCTAGTAAATAAAGTGAAAGTGGGACAGGGCAGGGTGTCTCTCAGCTATACAACCCCTCAGCTTGTTGTTGTTCGTCCTGCATCTTCACCCTCTGTTTTGATGGTCGATCCAGACATCTGAGTCTCACTAGACCCTATAGCGGCTGAAGAAAATTTGCTAATGCACCTTTACATTTTTTTTCCCTGGTCTATCTCTTGGAGCAAATGGAACAGATGCGCTGCTTTCATCAATGCTAATATGTGGTAGGCGTTTTGAGTCATGCTAATTGTTGCCGGAAGGCCACAGGTGCTACTGACATAACCTAATAAGAGGAGGATTTCCATCTATTTGCATCTGATTTTAACCATCCAGTCTTTTTGCTATTGTTCATGTAACTGATGCCAACAAGGGCTGTGAAGGCAGGTTTTCCAGAGAATATATTTTTATTTAAAAAAGATGTTTGCTATTTGTTTTAACTGATTTCCTTGCCTTACACAGTGACGTAACACATGACAATTTGAACAGTTGAATATTTGTGGCAAAAAGAAGCAGGAGTAGGATGCGTTGCAAACCTGAATGTGAGTAATTTAGCTATAATTTGAGGTTTGGTTTTGACACGTCTCTCCAGTAGCTCACAGTCTTTACTGTGGCTGCATGAAGCAACTTAAAGTTTATGGGACAGATGCATATATTGCATTATGTCTGTCAGCATTTATCCTCAGACACTGCTGTTCATCTGACAAACTCTTAGATATCATGGCATCTGTGGTCTTCTTTGTATTTGTTTAAGCCATGACATGAAAACTTATCTTGTTGTTTCAAAGCAAGGAAGTACTTCAATTTTCTGCTACTTCATACTTTGACTTCACTACATTTCAGAGGAAATATTGTACTTTGTGCTTACTACTTTTATTTGATAGCTTTATTTACAAGTTACTTTTCAGAATCCGATGAATAAAGCACCGTACAGTATAATCATGACTATACTGATCCTTGGTGGAAAATTCAAAAGCTTCTGAGCAGTATGTAAAGTACTTCCACCTTTACCATTTAGAAACTTTTGATTGTGATGTACACAATAATTATAATCTAACCATATGATGCACATTAATATGAATTGTGCTATTCTGCATAATGAGTACTTTTACTTTTGGTACTTTAAGTAGCCTGTATTTTGATGGTAATACCTTTGTACCTTTACTTAAGTAACATTTTGAATGCAAGCCTTTTACTTTTACTTCTTCCACCACTGGTAGCTAATGGCTTTAAAGTAAAGAACTGAATTTGTTTTAAGAGAGTCGGTATGATAACCCCCGGTAAAATGACTTCATTTCCCGCGCTGAGCATCTTGAAAGAGACAGACGCTGTTGCCTGAAGCGACCAATCAGACGCTGCCATGTTGGGGCAGGCCAGCAAATCAGAGCGCTCAGCCTGGAGAAAATCTTGGATGTACCCGGAGTGGGGAAGTGGAGAACAAAGAAGTGGGTATCACTGCATTCGTCACCATGACACGAAAAAAAGAGCCCAAGTTTTTGTGGAGGATGCCTCAGGGTAGGCCGCGGCTCAAGGCATCTAATCACAGCTCCATGAAAACAAACAGAAAGTAAAAAAAAAGCACCCAGCGCCAGAGAGTTTGCTGTCCATTACTACTGCGTGGGTTGGAGGGAAGTGACGCCCCACTGAATCTCTCCAAAAACAAAAAACGAACCCCTCCGGTGGTCTGCAGGCCGGGGCCAAGTTCCAATCCTGCACCCCTCCTGATGTCAAACCATTTTGCATACTAACTTCCGCCCCGCTCGGATTTCCTTCCCCACTAGTCTGCATCAGCCGGCAAACAGCTGGAGGTACGGGAGGAGGGCACAGTATCACAGAGCCATGAAGAGCTGACTTAAAAACTTCATTTGGAAAGTAGGCGGATGTCGCCTGCGGTTTATTCAGGACGAAGTAGGGTTAGGGGACGCGGCGGAGGAAGAACCGACTATATTTTAGATGGAATGGGATTTGCTACTTTCGTATGAAGAGGCGGACCCATGACACTGCCAGTTCAATATGCTGAAGCTGTCCCCGGTGTTTGTATACTGTACGTGGAAGTACAGAGACTTTTCTCCCAACTCACAGGCCTGCCTAAGGATTTAACACAGCACCTGATATTATTTGGAGCTCACGGATATTCACGGTAGAAGCGCTACGACCCTTTTTTTTTTGCGGCAGTATTTGATTTGGACTGGGAATTCCTTCAGATAAGCTGCATGTGCTTTGCTCCTTAGCTGTCTCTGGTCGTTTCTCTAAGCTAGTATACATCTTTTAAATGTCTATATAAGTAGACATGGGGCGCTCGTTTGTCGTAGCTCGCAGTGGCCAACCCTCTGAAACAGCCAGTAAACCCATTAGAGGCTCTTAGTGGCTGTTTTGTCCAAAGGTGTCTTCTGTCAAAATAGTTTGGCATGTCGTTGATCCACGATGAGCTGTTATTCTGTAGGGATTTTTCACGCCCCTGTACGGTTTGGTAGCAGCAATGACTGCTCACATTTTAGCTGTTAGCAGGTAGATTTGCAAAGAAATCTGCTGCAGGATTTTGAAGTTGAAGCATTTACCAGGTGCTTCTTATTTCTCTTGACACCACTATTTCTGTCCACTAAAGACTATTTTTTTCCTGTCATCGCTGGCTGGCTGGCTGTTGCTGTGGCGTCCAGTCTGAACCCGACATTTCTGCTTCTTTTTGGGGGGGTTTCCCCTTGCGCTCGTGAATTTCCATCCACGCCACGAGTCCCACGGATACGTCTCGTTTCCACCATGAGTTACATCCACAAGGTGGTGAATGTATTGCTACGTGGACTCGTCATCTCTGCGGTACTGGGCTTGGAGTGCACTTACTCGAATGATCTACTGAGCCACTCGTCGGATGCTGCAAATGTAGCCACCACAGGTAAAGCGCAAACCATGTCGGATACAAGCGTCTCCTGTTTATTTACGCATGTACACTGCACCCCCCCTCCTCCCCATTGTTCCCAGAGGGTTTCTCGGGGAAAGCCGAGGAAAGCCCTGCGCAGCAGCTCAGTGGAAAATGATGCATCTCTATGTCGAAAGTCACCCCCCCCCCCCCCCCCCCCCCCCCGCTCAGGCATGGGGACAGGAATGCAGGATGCATCCTCACTGGAGACGAGGGTACTTACTGTGATGTTGCTCTGCGTGTGTGATGCTTTGGAAGGTAAACCTGTCCAAACAAACATCGGGTTGGCCCTTATTTTTTTTTGCGTCCATCAAGTTATTGTAAGAAATATCATATTTACAGAAGATGACAGTCCCTTCTAATGAAGGAAGCGTCTGTGTTGACGTTTGGAGGTGTTTTGCGTCATGCTAATCGTTGGCCGAAGGCCACAGGTAGTCCCCAGCTGAAACCGCGTTATTGACATAAGCTAATGAGGAGGATTTCCATTTATTTGCGTGTGTTTTTAACCAGCCAGCACCGAGTTGTTGTTCATTTAACAGGCGTTTGTACGTGACAAGTGCCTGTAATAAGTCGAGGAGGAAGTTGTGTATATAAAAATGACTTTCATTGAATTAGATGGTTTTCAGGAACAGTACAGATAAACCTTGTTACAAAGGTAGAATCTTTGTGATAAGAATCTAGTTGTTAATGTGCTGCAGCTTTTGGGATTTTGTGTTAGAAACCTAAATAAAAGCATTTCAGGATTAATACAACAAATAAGATACAATATTGTGTGTGTGTGTGTGTATATGTATATACACTGTGTTGGCGTATGTGACCAGTGGGTCCGTTCAAAACTCACTAGTGTTCACATCTTTGTTATTGTGTGAACCATTGTTTTACTTGTGTGTTACATGTAGTCGTTACATTTCTGATGTTCAGGCTGTTTTAACCCACCTGGCTGACTCAGGTACTGTCAGATTTATCTGAGTAATGACACATTCATTGGTTAGTGGGCTAGGATTTCAGTGTTTTGGTGGTGCTTACTGTTGTTTATTCTAAATGTGGTCTACTTACTTGAATGTTTATGAGGTTCTCCTTTGTGATGAAAACATCTTGCTTTTATCCACTCAAGCACGACCTCAGTCCTTTTCACTAACAGACTGTCAGATGACACTTAGCACGTCAGGACATTTATATAAATATTTTACCAATTACGTTCTTGCTAATGTATTTTGACAACCCAGTGTCAAGTTGTTTGTGGTTGTGGTTCAAGCCTTTTCCTCCTTTTCAGAGAGTTTGTTATAAGTCTGCTCTTTCTGTTGACTAAGCGCCAAACAAAACTGTGCTCCAAATACAAATGAGCATTAAAAAGGAATACTTTAGTAATTTGGGGAATGGGCAGGACACTGAACCCCCAAGTTGCCCCCGTTGGTTAGAGCCATCCGTTGAGTTGGCGCCACACATGGCTGACTCAGTTCTGTACCGGAAACAAATTCCTTGTGTGTAACATACTTGGCCAATAAAAGTGATTATGTCTCTTGCCAAGACACCATATTTCTGACACAGTCCTCCCTGTAAAATGGGGAATTGGTGTTTTTTTGCACATCAGGTTTAGTATGGGTTCAACAAATATGATATGTGGTGTTCATCTGTGAGCTTTAGAAGTGCTGGCAAGTGGGGCACCCGATAGCCAAACGGTTACAGCTTGGTGCGCTACACACACAGGCATGGTGTGTGTGTTTGATGTCGGGGATTCAAGTCCGGCTGCCGACCTTTGTCACAGGTCCCATTTCTCAGCGATTCCCTTTGTAAATACCTAAAGAGTGGTGCTGGTAGGTGGACCTTCAGATAAGGTCCAGTTGGCTGCTTTTCCTTATTTCTAGTCTTCATACTAAGTGTTAAACTGTCTGTGGGCTGATGTAAAGAATAGTAATGCCCTTCTCATGTAACGCTTGGCGAAAGTGTCCCTTTCTGAAAATGTCAAACTAACCATTTAAACTAAAACTGTTGAAATGAAAGTGCACATATTACGGATTTGACAAAAAGAAAAACTGCCAGATGACGAGGTTCTTTTCTCTGTTTTCTGTTATCATGGAGATGTTGAGTTGACCACATATGAACAAAAACAGGTTAAGATCCCTGCCCAACATATATAACCATCTGTTACCACATGATCAAATTCACTTAACACCTACAGTAACCGATCTCCATGACTGAGCAGACTCCATCTGCTGATGATGGCCGTGAAATGTACCTGAAAGCTCCAGCTAATTTCCAGTTCTAGGGCTTTTTCTGCAGCTATTAAGGCAAGTAAAGAAGCTTTAAGCTGCAGCTGTGTCCGCACTTACCCTCTTTCTCACTTACCCTCGTAGGCAGATTATCAGTGATGAGTCAGTCGCAGGCTGTTACTGAGGCACATGTTAGTATTCATCTCTAGTGAAATCCCCTAAAGGTACATCTAAGATGAGAATTTCCTGTATTTATTTTTGACCCTTTTGCTCACAAAGATTTTGTGCTACTGTAAACCTACTGTATGTAAGCGTTTTCCTGCCAATATTGACAAAACACACATAGGTGCTGCAACTGAAGATGCACACAGATCCTTGTAAATGCAATACTCCGGTCTTATCTATATATTTATGTTCATCTAACACATCCTGCCCTGCTGGAGAAAGTAATAAACCTCATTCCAGACAGCTGTTACACATTCATGACTGTCTGTTTACAAGTGTTAAGTAGCTCCTGAAAATAAACCAAGGGTATACAGCGCATTGATTAATAAGGCGAAAGCACACTTGTCCTTTTCCACAGTAGCAGGACAACAGTGTAACATGGGCCAGCAGACGATGTCAGCCCTCTCTCTCCCTGCGAATAGTGAAGTTTAGTGGATGCAGAGATAGGGGTGACTTAACACAGTGTCAGTAAACACCACCGCAGTGTTACCAGTTTCTCAGCTGGCTCCCTGTTAAGGTCAGCTGCTTTGTAATTGGTCTTGGTGCCAGGTGAGGAAAATCAAAGTCTGTGTGTGTGGTCCTGTACAGAGCGAATCTTGAATTTCATTTGTGCTCTTAAACATCCTTATTCTGTGTTTTAAAATGTGAGGCAGTTTTTTTTGTTAGCAAATCTCCAGGTCAGCTTTAAAGCAAGACTGTCTAACCCGAGAGGAGAAAAATAACACATTTTTCCTCCTACAGATGAAAAGTTGGATTCCTAGCTAATATGCCACACTGTCGCTCAGTTTAGGTCATTAAGGATTTTGCTGGTGTAGCTTTATTTAATCTGGTATGATGTTTTGCCTTTGGGGCTAATCTTAGCCAACTTTAGGTAATTTTTGCAGTATAACTTACACTTCTCCACCTGCGCTACTGGTACAACAGCTTAGCATCTTAGCTAAATGCTAGTGTGGCTTCAATACCTAACATCTGTGACTAGCAACAGTCTAGGATGGCATATGGCCAAGGAAGTGGCTTTAGCATGTACTATATTTGCCTGCAGGTTTATGTACATACACACATGCCTACAATAGGTTTGTGTGCTTATAATGAAGGAATTTTATGCCCAATTGAGGAGAGTGGAGGCTGTTATCACAGAAGCAGTTGAGGGTTCAAAGCTGCCATTTGTCTTGCTGTGAGCAGCTGGGGGGCTATACTGGAGGGGGTTTAGTGGGCTTTGCTGCTCCCTTGTGATTTAAGATCTTCAAAGACCAGTTTGAGTTTAGTTTTAGAAATAAAGCAGGGGAGACTGATGGAGGTGATGAAATGTGCAGTTTGTCATATATGAGCATTGTGTCATCTTTGACCATGTCCACAGTCTGGAAATTTGTCACATGTTACATTTCAGTACCGATGTGGCTGAAGATTTTTTTTGTTTATTCATACATCTCTGTGTAGTTAGTCATGTCAGGTGAGTTGTTTTGACAGGAAAAAAAAAGTTCACTGCAACCAGCTGTCATCACACTGAGTATCAGCCAGCATCATCTAGAAAAGCTACGTGATTTTAAAATAGAAAATGACTGATTTTTGTCTCCTGGGATCTTCCTTTATCTGTGAAGGAAAACAAAGATGAATCGGGTGCTGAAGTCATAACTGGTTTCAGGGTTACAGAAAACCAGCAGCACATGATTCCAATTGACTGTCGGTGTCGAGCTGTTTTTGTGGGCTGCTGTTAAACCCATTTTTTTGTTTATAAAGAGGGTCGGTTGAACGTGGTCTCCTGTTTTAATGGTGTTGTGTATTTAGCTTGTTTGGCATTTCAACAAACAAAGCCCTCCCCTTGCCGCAAGGAACATCCAGTTCTCATGCTCTGTAGCTGCTTGATGATTGTTGTCTTAAATACAGGGCTCTCATTTAGCATACGCTTTGCCTAGCTTTAAATATTGTAAAGTAAACATGAGTTGATCTTTCTCACTTCCCACTTGTCATGATCACGTTCCAGCACGATCTCGTCGCTAAGATCCAATTCAAAGCTTGTCCAAGTTTGGAGGGAGTTCAGTGAATATTGCTGACTGTTAATAAAGTTGCTTGGAAAGGAGGTTCAACATCCGCCTGTCCCACCAGTTCTTGCTTTAATACTGCACTGGAATTCACGTTTTGTGATCCTTCCGTCTCTGCTGGCTGGCCCCTGTTCTCTCAGAGGGATGCGCTTGAGGAAAGCCAGGCTTGTTTACTCACTGTGGTGTTGGAGCCTCAGAGTGGGTTTGCTCTGGGGGTGTCGATGTGAACGTGGAGCGAGTCACAATGTCCTGGTTCTGTGGAGCACAGTTGAACAGGCAAAGCCATTTCCTTTCCCTGACAAGAACAGACTGTTCTGAAGGGTTCTTCATGAGCCAAAAACAAGTGAATTAAATAATGACTTTGTGCTTCTGAAGTCACACTGACAGTTTATTTTACTACTGTAGAATATCAATAATGGATCAAAGTGTTGCTGTAATATGAAAGAGGTTGCTTTTAGTGACAAACCCTCAGAGAATGACCGCCCAGTTCTACAGTTCCCAT